ACACACACACACACACACAGAGTCTTCCCTGATCGAATTTAAGGTCCTGAAGGCAGGGTCTGTTTTATTTCTCTTTGTATCCTTACTGCTTAACATGACGAATAGCGGTGGTAGGTTTTTTAATAAATGTTTCTTGGTTGAATGATAGCTTCCCTTTAATGAGAAGGGTCTTTAACTGGGTTTCTTCTCTGGTTTCAGAATCATGACCATGCCTGCATTGCATGCCGGATCATCTACCGTTCAGATGAGCACCATCCTCCAATATTGCCCCCCAAAGCTGACCTGACCATTGGCCTACATGGGGAGTGGGTGAGCCAGAGGTGTGAAGTACGCCCTGAAGTTCTCTTCCTCACTCGCCACTTCATATTTCATGACAATAATAATACTTGGGAAGGGCATTATTACCACTATTCTGATCCCATCTGCAAGCATCCCACCTTCACTATTTATGCCCAGGGTCGCTACAGCCGTGGTGTACACTCTGCCAGGGTCATGGGAGGCACAGAGTTTGTGTTCAAAGGTAAGACTCCTGTCGTGAATCAGAATTTCTCTAGGGATTGAATGATGACGAGCAAGGCTTGACCATTTCTGCTGTGGACAGGTGTATTACCACAGGAGGGACTGAGGCAAGAAATTAGGGGGGAAATTTTTCCGTTGGCAGAGCCTGTCATACAATGGTTAGCAGATGCCCACTCCTTACAGAGCAGTGACAACTTTGTATATTGTTGCATAATTTCATGAGTTTAGGAATCCTGACTCCTGGTATTTACTTTAACAATATTCAAAACCCTAGCCTAGAATACAAATCACATTGGGAGAGGTAATACATTTATTTAAATTCTCAAAAAAAGTGTAAATGACTAATAGCTGATCTTTTTTAAGAGCAAGTTTCATAGGGAAAATGCAGAAAGGCATCTATTGCCTGAGGTTGTGGGGGAAAGATGTCATAGAATGAATAAATTGTACAGAAAAGGGGCTCTCACCTACTTGGAAGTGTTTTTTTTTTGTTTGTTTGTTTTTGTTTCTGTTTTCATCTTGGTACAGAACATTGTATTAGATCAGGGGTTGTTGACTTGTTTTGTATTGTGCATCTCTTTGGCAATTTGATGAAGTTTATGGATCCCTTCTCAAAATAATGTGGGTTTTAAAAAATTTATATTGGGAGGAAATGATAAATTTCAGTTAGAGGTTAGTGAAAATAAAGATGTGATTTTTTTCCCATCCAAGTTCACAAACCTCCTGGTATCTTGGTATCCATCCACAGGGATCCATGGACCCTAGCTGAAAACTGTATGAAATGCAGGATTGACTTGGAGGGAACACTAATGAAATAGAGGAGGTGATTCGTGTGATGAAGGAGCTTACAATCATTTTTGTTAAGAAGTATGAGACAGTGGGATACGTTTTCAAGAGTAGTCATGGAGTCTCTTCTTAGATGTCTTAAGAAACATGTGGACACATTTCTGAGATGATGGGCACATAGACCTGCCCAAGAGCAAGAAAGGATCTTACATTCATTTCAACTTGTAGAGGGGTTACCTGCTCAGGTATAACATCCTTGACAAATGGTCATCCAGACTATTGGAAGACTTCCTATGTTTGGGGAATTCACAACATCATCAGTGAGGCCATTCAGCTTTTGGATAGTAATATTAGGAAGGTACCCTTTACATCAAGCCAGAGTCTTCCACTCCACAATTTCTGAAATCCATTGTTCCTAGCTTTGCCTTCTGGGGCAAATAGAAAATAATTCTAATCTTTCTCCCACTTGAAGGCTCCTCAAATACTTGAAAGACAGCTATCATGTTCCCTGCTGAGTTTTCTCTTCTCTAGAATAAAGGTCCCCAATTTCTTCAGGAAATCCTCACTCATATTGGCAAGGTTTACAGGCCTTTTATCAGCTCTTCCCTGGATGTGATCCAGCTTAGCAGTTTCTTTCCTAAAATGTGGTACCCCAAACAATACTCTATATGGTCTGACAAGGTCAGGGTACATCAGAACTCTCTCTCCCCCCTTGTTCTAGACCAGAGGTGGGGAACCTGCAGCCTTGAAGTCACACGTATCTCTCTATGTCCTCAAGTGCGGCCCTTTGACTGAATCCACACTTCACAGAACAAATCCCCTTAATAAAAGAATTATCTAAAACACTGCCCTCCTACTAACTTAAGCTAAGATGGCATTAGCTTTTTGCTTACCACATAACAATGCTTTCAGTCCACTAAACTCCCTATAGCTTTCCTATGACTCCCTCATCCCTTCCAGCTTTGAGGTTCTATGTGAAAAATGCTGGGATTTTTCTCTTCTAAATCTTTATCTACATTTTGTCTTACTGCCCACAACTTAATTTCTTTCAGACCCTAGCCTTGTGGGCCTGGATTAATTTCAGGGTATGGAGAAGTGGTTGATGCTAAATCTATTAAAGACCTCAAAACATCCTATTCTATTAAAAAAAATTCCAGTTTCTATCAGTACTCTTTAGTAGGGTATTTTTCGATGTGATAATATTAACTCATGCGATGTGATGATGTAGAAACATTTCATAAGCCATTGCTTTCTAAGGTTATGAAGATCATAATTAACAGGATGCCTGCATTGACAGAACTACCAAGGTCCATGTTATTGGCCAAATGAAGTAAGTTTACCCAGTCACACCTGTAATTCATTTGGTGCCAAATAAGAAGGTTCTGGTCATATAGGGCAGGGGAGGGGATGGAGTCTTTTTTCTTCTTCACTACCCCTTGAAAAAAAAAAAGGAAAATCATTGATATATTGTATTGCTAGTGTCTGCTCTAGAGGGCTTCGCTATCACATGCTTGCTTCTCTGGAAACAATGAACTTTTTCTTCTTATCCTCTTCCTCCATAGTGAATCACATGAAGGTCACCCCCATGGATGCAGCCACAGCCTCTCTCCTAAATGTGTTCAATGGGAATGAATGTGGAGCTGAGGGCTCATGGCAGGTTGGAATTCAGCAGGATGTGACTCACACCAATGGTTGTGTTGCCTTGGGAATTAAACTACCTCACACCGAGTACGAGATCTTCAAAATGGAACAAGATGCACGGGGTCGGTACTTGCTGTACAATGGCCAGAGACCCAGTGATGGATCCAGTCCTGACCGGCCAGAAAAGAGAGCCACATCTTACCAAATGCCCTTAGTTCAGTGCGCATCTTCAGCACCCAGATCAGAAGACTTAACAGAGGAGAATGCAATAGGCCACTATGGGAATGGGGCACCTGAAAGGAATTTCTGTACTGTACTCCTCACTCTGATTGCATGCTTTTGGACTGTTCCACATTGGAATACCTTCAGCTAGATTTCTTTATGCTTTAAAATATATATATTTTTTATTTTCCAAACTAGGATTTCTTGGGATTTGTGGATTTTCTTTCCCAAAGAAAGGATGTTTATTCCCCTGATGCACTCAAATGCCTAAGAATTGTTGTTCTTTTTCTTCTCCCCTCCTCCCTCAAGCCCTACTCCCAGCCCCGGAATCATGAATAGCACTTGTTTGAAGTTTCTGCTTTGAACTTCATCCAGTCTGTTCCCTGGCCTGAGTGACTGCACAACAGTAATTGCACTTTAGGACTGCAGATGGTTTGTGGGCAGTAGATTCTTTGGGGGTTGGGATTTTAAAAAAATATTATATTATTTGGCTGCATTGAACTTTAGTTGAAAAAAAGATCCGGCTACGTTTTTCACTGCCGTTTTCCTCTTGTCACTTCCTTTCCCATCTCTGAAACTGCCTCTCCTTCAAAATCTAACCATTTTCAATAGTCCTATGCAGTATTGGGTTAGTGCTGGGAGGATGGCATCTTTTTACTTCAAGAAAATGCTTTGGTGTAGATATGTATATATTCAAAGACACAAGGATTTATCTAAATGATCTTTTCAATTTTTATACAGAAGAAGAGAGAATTGAAAGCCTTCCTTTCAGAAGTACTGAATGGAAAATATCTGTAATTAAAATTTCAAAGTAATTTAAGCTATTTTTTACACTTTTTTTTTTTTACTTTTAAAGAATATACTTAGTGGAGCATATGTGGCACTGTTCTGTGTTCATGGTTGAGAAGAGACAAAAGGGACCCTAGAGGTCAATTTAATCCAACCCATTACTGTGATTTTGTTATGTTAGGTTTGTTGCTTCTGTGCCCTGTGTAAATAGGTAATTTGCTGGAATCAGTATGTAGAAAGCAATGCCATTATAAATCAGAGGGTAGACAGTAATGTATCTGGTATGTACAAGTCCTGCAAAGTGCCACATGAATGCTGATGATAATATGGTCCTTTTCCTAATATGCCGTTTCCCTTTCTTAAAACTTTCACCTTGGCTTGTATGATATTTTGTTATAGGTAAGCAGAAGTATCTAGATTTTCAATATCTCTCTTACCATCAAAATACATTTTCAGAAGAAATGTTTGCTGGGAAAGGGCCTGGTATTCAGAGAAAATATAAAAATCAGTATCCTGTGGGATTTGTAGCATTCCTTTCATGACATGTATATCTTGGCTTTTGTATTAAGTCTTACTATCATATGGACTTAACTGGGAGTCAGGTAATTAGACTAATCCTCCTAATCAGCAGTTGACTTAGTTATGCAACATGGAATAAGCCAGTGTCTTCTTTCCTCAGTCTAACCTTGTGAAAAATAGAACATAACATTTCTGCCCCTAATTCTGTCCCACTGAGACACTGGAAGGGTATAATATCTGTAATGTGCTCTGGATTAAGGGTCTGTGTAAACATCAAGTATTCTTAAGAATAGAAAGTAATGAAAAAGAACTGAAGCAAATAGACAACTATTGAAGATCTAGATTTAAGTGAAGTCTTGTAGAAGGCAAAAAATCAGTCAGGGTTAAGACCTTATTCTATTTAATATTAAAATTAAATGCCAGTAATATTGTTTGTGATTAAAATTTTTAAGGATCATGTAGGTGTGTACTATTAAATAAAAATGTTTAGATTATATTTATAATTATGGAGATTACCAACATCATTTATTCAGCATAAAAATACTAACCTGATTTGCCAAATTTACTACATAGTGAAAAGAACTGGAAAAGCATTAATACTCCTGTAAAAATTTCTTTTATCTATGGAGTCATCTAATAAGTGGAGTATACATTCTATCATCATAAGCCATAACAAATCATACGAAGCACATAATGTTTACTATCATAGGCTATATCAGCAATTTAACCATGAAAGTGACAGGCTAATAGCTATTGAAATTAGAGACTCTAACCCATAGGTCTGTAAAATTGTTTCCATATTAAATACTTGCAGTTTTTAGAAAAATGTGTGTATATTTATATAATTTATTTTTAAAATTGCAAGTATGTCAAGAGATATATATGCATATATCTATATACACATATATGTGCATGTATCTCTATACAAAAATGGATACATACAAACACATGTCTTGTTAATGAGAACAAAACAGAATTCATGTGAATACAGGTCCTTTAGCACTAATGTAATTTATTAGAAATGATAATCAAGATAACACATTTATATAGTTTGGGTACAATGATGGGTTTCTTAGCTAATTGCAATATATATTTATATATATATAGGTTTGGATTTACTGTGTTTTTTACAAACTTACTTAGATATAAAATCCTATTGGTGTGGGGTCACTTAACCCTTTTTATCTCTTATTTTGTACAAATTCTTGCCCATGTCTTTCTGTAAATTGTGTACAGAGGACACACCTGACACACTGGAGGCTTTCCTCTAGTACTTTAATATTTTGTGAGTACCAGTGTAATCTAAATCATCCATTATTTTTTAGTCCTAATATATAACTGGCCTACTTCCATCCAAGACATGCATGGCCAGATAATATGTATTTTATTCCACGAATGGGGCACAGGCTATCATGGGTAATATATTATAGTCTACCTATCCCCACCATATGTCTTTCTGTGCCCTTTGAGTTACTTGTGATTTTGAATATTTTAAGGTCATGATGTTTTATGAGTCATAGCCATATAGCATTACCAGGAGAATATTATGATTAAAGTATTTTTTTTCTGACTGCAAAATACTTGAGATGATTGAAAGTATTGAGGAATTTCTCAAATGCAATATAAGCCATTCACCTCCCACTCAGTTCAGGACGCAGGTCATTTTCCATTGGCAATATCCATCCAATAATTCAATCAACAAGTATGAATAAGTATTTACAAACACTATCCAAGATGTACACATTGGTGGGTTAACTCAGTGGGTTCTCCGTTCAGTTAAATATCATCTTGGCATTGCTCATTTTTCATTCCCTTTGTTCTTCTAGTGGTAGGAGAATCTCTTGAATTTCTGTGGATTTTGCTGAAGAAGTTTACAGGATATGGGGCTCAATGCAATTACTAAAATGGCATCTGTGAATAAGAACATTTAAAGAAAACCCTTATTAATAGGAAACACTTTTGCTTGAATGCTGGGCAGGATATCTTCTATGCTATAGTCGAACACCTTAAGTGAGCTGATGTCTTGCTGTTTTATGACTAGCTTGATATAGGATTGTTCAACAAAGTGATTTCCTTAGTCACATCTTTTTACAATATATACAGAAGATGACTCATTTGTTTGCAGAGGATCTTAAAGGTTGAATTTTGTCCTACCAAGTCCATCAAAAAAAAAAAAAGATCAACAGACACAGTAGGAGTTATCACCATACATCATGAGAAGGCAAAGGTATAGAAATGTAGATGTAGGGAATTTTCTGTTATCTTTTCATGCATTCATCAATAATATCCTCTCTCTCTCTCTCTCTCTCCATATATATATATATATATATGTATAGATGATTTTCATCAAGGCTTTATGGAGCTGAGAAAGTAAACATATAAGTAAGTAGTTCTTGGTACCTTCATTTATGAATAAAGTTTTCTAAAGGTGAATGTCCTACATCAGATTACCCAGATGTGCTGTTGAGTTTCCCACCATTCTTGGAAGAATATGGCTATAAGGTTCAGGAAAGTTCACACTGGAGAGTCAAGAATTATAACCTTAAATGACTTTTAAGATGGCCATTCTTAGAAAAGTTATGCTGATTTTCTACCCCAAACTTCCAAGACTCTCTTTCATTTCCCTCAATTCCAAAACAGGAAATAAGGTGCTAGCCAGGCCCACTAGGAGATAAGGAAGGGGATATTTTGCTCCAAGAGTATAGGAGCAAGAAGTGTGGCTTTGGCCATAATGTGTTCTTCCATGCCAGAAACCCTTTCCTCATAATCTCAGCACATATAATACATACCTCAGCTCTGGCTCTGGGTGTGTGTGTGTGTGGGTGTGTGTGTCTTCAGGGGCAGGAGGTGATTCCAATCCCAGGCCTTTACCTTTTGAGTCAGTTTTAGTGCCATGTGTTTTGACATGGTGTCTGTTGCCACAAGTGACCTGAATTAGGAAGTTTTCTTTTGCTAGATGATAGGTTCAGAAAAGATAACTCGATCCAACAATGATCTTAGAAGGTTGCTCAGAAAGTAGGTAAGTGATATTTATAAAATCTGAACTTCAAACTGAACCTACTGGAATAGTAAACCACAGGGTTCCTAAAAGCCTATGAAAGTCAAAGACAGTGTTCGTCCAAATTGCTTGATACAGTAGCAAGCAGTAATTACATATACACATTAGAAGAGTCATTCTCTACATGATTAATATGTTCAAAGACATTCTAAGAATGGTTTGCACACTGGCTGAAAATTCTGGTTTACCTAATAAGAGTGTACCCGTTCCCTATGGAAATAGAACGAAATATGGATATGTGCTAACTCTAACCCAGAAACCAATAAATGACAGCAGAGTTGCCATGTCAGGACAACTTGCTCAAAATAAAATATTTTCCACTTGTGTTGTGGTGGGGCTTCCTAGGCCCTCCACAGGTTTTGCTAACATTTCTGTTAGCTCTGTTTAAGCTAAATATAGTATTCAAGGACATATGAAAGAAAAAATGGCCAGATGCCTCCTGTTCATTTCTCATTTCACAAAGAGATTCATAAACATTCTTTCCTCAATATTAAGAAGATTGTATGTCCCTTACCTGTGCCCTTCATGGAGCCAATTTGGAATCTTCAAAACTATATGATGCCACAACTTGGTCTATCTCACTTGGGAAATTGACTTGGGTCACAATAACCTTTGCTCATAAATTGAGTAAACTGTAGCAATGAAGCTTACTACCCTACTCCCACCACTCCTTTTTCCCTCCTCTAACATAATCTTATTCTCCAGATACGTATGTGAACAGGAGTGCTCTGCCATGGGAAGAAATTTAGGGGAATTTTGGTCTCCAACTTCTGCATCAACTAAGACACAGTCCTGCCAACATTCTCAACAAGAGCACATAGCAATCCAAGGGAGAGCAAACTCTAGATTCTGAACATCATGGAGGCAATAGGGCTATTATGTGGATAAGACATAGGGTTTTAAACTAGACCAAAAATGTATTTATCTCTGACAGAAATGAACTTTGATAAATGGTTTCCAGAAGAAAGACTTTCTACACATGTGTTATTAGACATCAGTAGAGTATCTATCAAATTACCTTTCATTCTGCTATGAACAGCAGGCCTCAATATTGCAAACTGAGGCAAACCTCCAGAGGAGTAAAGTCTCAGGAATTTTAGGAATGAGAATCCTTTAAAACCTAGTACTCCACAGATTGTGGAAAGTAAATAATGTAGTGGGAGAAACACTTCCAGAGGCTAACTCAATATTACCATAAATGAGGTGAAATAACATACATTTAGAGCCACTATTAGGAAGGATCATGTACAGGACACTTTCCTATTTCCTATATAAAACATTGTAGGTTCTTACTGCCTAGAACAAACTACAGAGGATCTTACTTATGTATAGGTTGCCTCTTCTACTAGAATGTGAGCTCCTTGAGGGCAGGGATTATTTTTTGCTTGTTCGTTTTTTTTTTTTCGCCTTTTTTTGTATCCCTAGTGCTTAGCATAGTGCCTGACCAATATAACAAATGCTTAATATATGCTTGTTGATTAATCAATATTCACTTTGGAAATAGACAAATGGAAAAAATAAATTTTGTAGAAGATGCTCCAGAAAATTTAGAGTTGGTTGATGAGAAAAGATGTTTCACAATGTGAGTTACTTGGAAAATATTGGGAAATAGTATTCTGCATCATGCTCTTTATAAAAGAAAGTGGCTAATAAGTTTCATACTAATATTCTTAACTATCAGATCATACTTGCAATTTTTTGATAGAGTATAAGCTCCTTAGGCAAGCAGGGACTGTTTCATTTTGTCTTTGTATTCCCAGTGCCTAGCATATTGGCTGGCACATAGGAGGTGATGAATAAATGCTTTTTGATTGCTTGATTATGAAAGAGAACACTGAAAACACTGGAGATTGCCTCCAGTATTACCCATTACTTGGGTAAAAGCAATGTTAAAGGGAAGAGACTGTACAATATACCATAGTTTGGTAGCATAATGGCATTGGAATAGGGTGACTTTGTAAATAGAAGAATCTAAGGGAAGTATTGTAATGAGAAGATTGCCTTGTCCTACTATTACTACTATCATAAAATACCAAGAATAAACAGGTGCCTTGGTAAAAGTTGGAACTGTTTGTCTTAGAAGTTATTTTTTTCCTTAAACTTTTAAAATGTAAGTTCTTCCTAGCAATAAAGGGAATACTCAATACATGTACTGTAATCAATTTCAAAGCAATAATGTTCCTTGTAGATGTCTATCATTTACATAGAGATCTCTTGTCTTTTTCACGAAGCAATATATTTTTAACTCGGAATCTAGACTTTTTTTTTTCTATTTCTAGCACTTTTCCAATGTCAGGGTCTTTTTATTTTTATTTTTTATTCAGCATTTATGTTTTGCAAATATACAAAGCACTTCTTCTCTTCCGCTCTGTGTTCCAGATTCCATTGCTGGAGAAATTTGAGTAACTGTTAAAAGACTGTCTAAAATAAAGGCTGTCAAATAAAGCATTAACACCCCTCAAGAAAGTGTCACACAATGAATTATTGCTTCTAATCAGGGGAAAAAACAGAACTTGCAAACATTTGATTGAATTTAAGATTTCCCAATAATCTGTGTTTCCTTTAAAGGTAGAGAGAATAGAAATAGCAAAAAAATTAACAATATGAATATTTAATTTTCAAGTGACATTTAGTATCAGGTCAATAGGTTCATTTTGTTTTAGATGGGTATATATTTTAGTTCAAGTCAGTAAGCATACATTTAGTGTTCATAATGAAGCTTACTACATCAGATAAAAACTCAAAATGTGGCACTCTACTGTTTGCATAGTGATTTCCTTGGGACAATCAATCCTATGAGGTAGGTAGTGGAAATGTGCTTATCCCTTGTGCACTCCA